TCTTTTTAGTTGTAGTATTTTTGTCTATCCATATTTTTCACCCAAATTTTTAATTTAATTTTTAGACTAAAATTGATTTTTGGCTGACTTTGTGGTAAACGATATATTATTGTTCCTTGCTGATTAGGGCACGTCTATAACAGACAAAAGTAGAGTGGGATCATTTGAACATTTGAAGGGGTGCACTAGTACACAAGAATTTCTTCAATGAGCCAATTGAATCTAAGATCGATTGGAGGGACACAAATTAATTTTAGTTTTTTATTTTTATTTTTAAGTTCATTTCACATGAAAATTGAGTGTACATGTGAACTTATAAGGCACATTTAATGACAAAAGAAAAATAATTGCAAAAATCGACCAAAACGCCAATAAAATATAGGAGTATAAACAAAAATAAAATGAATCGTGCATAGATACAAACTGAACTAATAAAGGATGCATAAACACGCTTCAAGCATCCATATGATGTGCACCATCCCCTATAAAATATGACCGTTATTTGATCGATATAGAGAATTGTGCTAGCTTCAGTCATAATGCTATACTTAACACTATTTTATTTTTATATAAATTATATTGACATGAAATTTGGGAGATGTACGTAATTATGAAATTGTTGCATCAAATAAAAATAGAAAAATATAATTTTAATAAAATAAAATGACCAAAATACCTATTGAAATTTAAAAGCATTTTGGTCAAATGTTTTATTAAAAATATTTTTTTCTTATTTTTATTATGTACACCCTTGCGAGAAGTGAGAGCATGTCAAATTTCATGTGAAAATTATTTGTGTAATGGATATTAAAATAAAATACTATGAGCCATCCAACCAAGATCATACACTTAATATTACGACTAAAGCTATTCCAACTATTCATATAGATCAGACATATACGAATAAAGTTTCCCAAGGATAAAAGGGGAAGCTTTTGAGAGGAACTGATTTTGATTGAAAAGTCTAAAGTGCATTGGAATTAATGTGGCAGTGGTTAGAATTGGTGTCTGAAAAGTCAAAATCAAGCTTCTACTTGCTAGAGTCATGAGCCCCGGTCCATCAAAATCAGCCGAGTCATGGGCTAATTCCCAGGTCTTGTTTTTGTTTTTTTTTTTTTTTTGTAGAAAATGAATAAAGGGTAATCTTGCATTTAGAGTTTGAGACACCCGATCTTGGGGCTTCTCCTTTCAAAATCGTCAGGGGCAATTTTTGACTTGAACGGTAGAGTTTTCAATCACTAATTTGGGATAGCCTGCACGAATTGTTAAGACGAACGGCGAGCTTGAATTTGAGAAGTTGTGACTCAAGAAGCCACAATTTCTCATTTTCTATAACACTACCATGTTTAATAACTTTTTTTTATTTGGCTATTGTTTAGGGTGGAGGGGGATTTCGCAATGGGAAGTATAAAGTTCTAGCTGCCCATGGAAGATGCAACTTTAGGAAATGGAGGCTTCATACTTTTTTTTTTAGTGGTGCATCATTTTCCAACTTGTCGTGTATTTTTATATTTTTTTCAAACTTGATATAAATAAAATTTCATGCCCGTCAAAGTTTTAGGGTACTTTGGTCATTTTTTTAAAAAAGGTGAATAAAGGCTAGAATTATGGACAATGGAAATTTCAGCCCATTCCCATGTATGTAAAAAAATAAAATTTAAATACTTAAACATACTCTCAACCATGTAAATAAGATCAGATGAGCGAGATTGATGCCATTTAGGTGAACTACACTATAGACTATTTGGTCATTTTAAAAATTTTGGCCTGGTATTTATCCTTTTTCTTTTTGTTTTTTCTCCAACATTAGATCAGGATAAATTTGAAGCGTTTACGCACCTTGTTGGGGAGAATCTATATAAAATATAAAAAAGCAATGCAAATAAAATACAACCATCACAATACCCCTGAGGTTATATCAGCCATTTATTTATCTAAAATATTTTTCATATATTATAGGGGTGCACGAGGGGTGAGGGGTATGGATGCCTAAAAGTTTAGCTCAACACGATACATAAACATAAAACTAGATTGATTGTCTAGTTTTTTTGGGACTTGTAACCACATTCTTTTTCCTTTTTTTATGGGATTTATAGTATCCAATTTGTTAGATCTACCGTGAGTGAGCTGTGAGTATAAAATTTCATTTATTTAACAAACACCACCGTGTATCATTGGTAAAAAAAACAAAAACGATGAATGGTCAAAATTGGTGTTCTAGATCTCCAAGTTCCCAAAATCCCCACTTCATATAATTATCGAAAAAAAAAACGTCATTCTATGTATCTGTCCTTACATCTCCTACAATCGGTAGAGTCACCATGAGTTTCAATGTGTTGGGAGATATCATTATTGTCGAACCCCATGGCCATATAGCATTTGCAGGTAAAAGAATAATTGAAAAAACATTGTATAAAAAATTACATGATGATATGCAAGTAGCTGGATATTCATTTCGTAAGGGTTTACTCCATTCAATCGGGCCAGTTTATATGTCAAATAAAAAAACCTTCACATTGAAAAAAATTGTAATTTTTTTCAACCTTATTAATAAATATTATCATTATTTTTAATTAGTTTGTTGGACAATTTGGATAGTATGAATATATTAAAATGAGTTTCGCGGAGGGACAGTGCAGAGGTGGGCGGAAGGCATATTTGCATTCCTCTCACAATAACATACGCTCTTTCCTCATACAAGTCCTACCAGCTCCATTTGAGAGAGAGAGAGAGAAAATGGGTGCCTCACTCTAAGCTGGTGCTGTAGTTATACGGACAGCCAAGCATGGTGGTGGAGTGGAAATGAGTTGCAACTGATGTTTAGAGAGAGAAAATGGCACCATGGCCAAAGCTCAAACCCTAGTTTCTGCAACTCTTCTTTCTCATCTATTTTCTTCCATTTCGGACCATACAATTCTTCTTTCTCAGTCATTTTCTTCCATTTCTACAACTCTTCTTCTTGATCCATTTTCTTCCATTTCTGCAACTGCGGTCAGACTTAGAATCATAAGAAAAGGTACACCGGTTCAGAGATGGGATTTCAGATTTTTTACAGAGATTGATGGTTTTTTATAGAGATGGGATTTGGGGTTTTTTACAACCAACATGGATGGTTTTTTTACAGAGATGGGATTTGGGGTTTTCGGTTCTTTCGGTGTCGAAGCTTGGAGCAAAAGATGTGTGTTTTTTTACAGAGATGAGATTTGGGGTTTTCAGCTCTTTCGGTATTGAAGCTTGGAGCAAAAGATGGATAGTTTTTACAAAGATGGGATTTGGGATTGATTGGTTGTTGGTGACTCAAGTTTAGAGAGAGAAAGTAGAGAGATGAGGTTTGGGTTTTTGGGCGTTTATGTTGTTCATGAACTGATGAGATACGGCTTATCTGAAAAAATTCAAATCTAACTTGAATTTTTTTTATGGTTACTTTTGCCTTGAAACTATAGGATTTTTTATTTCAATTTAAAAATACTACAATTTTAAGTAGTTGTCCAAACGGATCAAATTTATTTCACAAGATTTTTGGATTGCAATCCAAACATATTACAATTTTAGTTACATCCAAACCAATCTTTTAAAAAGTATACGAAGTGAGTTATTTATTGCCCCCACAGTTTTTTTTCTTCTGTTTTCCGTTCACTGAAATCAAATAAAAAAAAGCGCTATGTTTAATTATTTGCAGCTAGGATCTAGCTGACAGTAAAGCAACACAAAAGGGGGTGGAGTTTTTTAAAAAATAAGTTCTAGGCTTCTTATAATTCTTATATAGGTTATTAAACATTATATTTCCTCGACATTAAAAAACCTAACTTCCATCGAGAAGACTCTTGGGACATGTTCGGTTAGTGGAAGTCTGTTGCTCCTAATGTCGTAGCACTTCCCATGTTTGTTAAAATGGGAAGTGCTGTGCCATTTTGAAAACTATGCGTTCTAGCGATTTCCCAAATAGTATAAATTTACAATCAAAAGTAGAAGCCTCCATGCTGAAGTTGATGGAAGTGGTGCATTTGATAGCTGCCTCTTCCACCAATCAGACATGCACCTTCCAATCACAAGACAAATATTTTCGGTACCGAGAGTACTGAATATATACATACCTTTAATTAAATTTATTTATTTTTAAATACTATGCATACCTTTAATTAATTATTATTATTTTTTAAATACTATGTTATGTACTCGGCATCAAACGAGTATCTTTCTTTTATGTTCAATATTAAGAGTACCAAACATTTTTATTTTTCATTTGTTTGGCACTCTTAGCACTGAATTTGTTTAAAGACATGAATATATTCGTATTCATCATACTTAATACTATTCCTCACAAAAAGCAACCCTTGGTAGGATTTGAAATTGACAGTGACAAGATAATAAGAATTTGTTCAAAATAGAAAGGTTAAAAGAAAAATCTACGCAAAATTTAAAATTGAAAAATAGCTTGGATGATGCCAAAATGTATTATACTCCCGTATGATTACACTGTGCATTTATTCCTTTGGATAATACTCCACTTAGAACTAATTTGAGGATCCAAAACTTAAGGGATGTAACCTCTTCAATCTATAGATTAACATCAATAGTTTTTGTTAATCCGTAGATTAACATCAATATTTCTTCGATCCATAGATTGACATCAATAAATTTTTTTTTCTTATTGTACCTTCTATACACCTGAAAAAAGAATGTTTTGAGATTGAATAGAGACCCTCTAAACTTTTTTTAGATAGTGATTTCTAAGTATTATAACATTCAAATTTCAATTTTTTGAGAATAATTGTCTTAGTCATTCTTAAGTAGGTTGTAATTTTTGAAATTGAAAAAGTCTACCGAGTAAATATGCTGACTGTGGAAGTAGAAGTAAAGTATACAACCTGATGCGTGCTCGTCGTTGGCAAAAGGGTTGGTGGCCCGACCGTACAAAACTAGGCCAAGACATGCCTCTGGCCCGCCCTTATTTTTTCATCTTTTTTTTTTTTTGCTTTGTTTACCTTTAATTTTGGCCAGGCTGAGCCGGTCTGATAGGGTGAGAGCCGGGCGGAGCTGGGCCTCAAGTGAATAAGGTGGTCTTGGGAGCCACCGGCCCGACTCTCGCTCGGTCCGTTGCCAGCCCTATGGTAGAGAGGGAGGGAGAGAGAGGCGATTTGTTTAATGTAACACCGACCATGGCGAGAGGTGACTAACTTGGGGAGCAGGGTTTAGGGTTTCTGGCGAGTTTCGAGCAGATTTGAACACCCGGTGACCTAATATCCATGGCTGCTATCAAAAGGAAGAGAAATGCGGCCACCACCACTCCCTCCGAGAAAGAGAAGAAGAATAAGAATAATATAGCAAAGCCCTCTGCAAAACAGCGCCTTAAGACGGGCGGCGGTGATGGCACGAAGCTTAGAGACTCCAAAACCACACAATCACAAGGCTATGATGCCAAAACAAACCAAGCTCCACCAAAGAAGTCTGCATCTCGTCTCTCCAAAGTTAGCTTCTCTTTCTCTGTGTCGCCTTCTCTCCCTCCTTACTTTTGTGTTGAGAGAATGGCTTTCCTTGTTTGGTTAATTTTGATATTTGTGGTGTAGGAAATGGCGGAGGCAAGGAAGAAGAAGAGGAAGAGACACTACAGCCTTCAACAAGTAGGTTGTTGGGATTTTTATTTCCCCCCTCTTTTTTCATTTGTTGGAATTTGGTGTGTAATAAAATGGAGGGTTTATTTATTTTTCATTTACTCAATTGGATGCTTGTGTGTATAGGAAGAGAAGCGTTTTTAGTGTTTCTTGGTAACCCTTGTAGTATTCCTTATAAAGGTGTTGCTTCATGTTGATTGAATTGTTACTTGCTTGTAGAACAGCGGGGTTATCTAGAAATGCTAGCTACCCATCAGATAATGATTGCTTCGGGAAATTTCAAAAAAAGAAAAATACAAATTTTTAGAGAAACATTTGACTTCATCAATCTGAATTCAATGATTCTATTATCAATATCACTGAGATGATTGTATGGATGAAAGTTTTGGGGCAAGAATGAACAAGAGAAAGTAATTATTAGTTACTTATTCACAGGAGTAACTGCATGTAGAAGGTTCTTCTATGTGGGTATCCAAGAGGTCTCTTTATTGTACAATTCAATTCAATATTTTTCAGAAAATTAGCATGTAGCGTGCAACTGGTCTTGATTAATGATTTTCTACATACTGCATTGATATCTTACATTCTTCAAATTGTGGGAATGGATAGGGAGGTGTTGTGCATGAAATTTTGGCAAAACTTTGCATGGGCACCTCTTTTAATTTGTAGGCATTAAGGGCCTGTACCATTTAAGTTAAAACTCACTCAAAAAAAAGAAAAAAAAAAAAGGGTCCTGCACCGTTTAGTTGACCTATGCCTTTTTGAAACGTCGAACAGCCTTGGAAATAAACCTGTTTGTATCTGTTAAGAGATTTTCAACAAGGATTCATCCGATGATGACATTAATAAGCTTTGGAACTCGCTACTGGAACTCAATGCATGAATGAAATGACTATGGACACTTCACTTTAGTTAAATGTGAGGTGCTCCACTAGAGTGTTCATTTGAGTGATCTTGTACAATCCATCGTTCAATATTGACAGAGTAATGGTTGCTTCTTATATGTATTTCTTTTTAAAACAAATATTATGGTTTATGTCCTTGTGTAGAAGCAATTCATGGCTAAAAATAGAGAGTAGCATATTCTATGTTCATAACTTCATTCAGTATATTACTTGGAGCCGAGGCTTCTTATGTCACCTTCTCCAAATGTGCTATTGCATATTCAGATTTTGATTTAGGTGGCTGCCAATAGGAATGGCTGTTATGATGGTATTTGGATATGCCTTGCCGCATCTCATGTGTCTTGGTATTAGAATCAGGAAGATAATTGTCTCTCTTCAAACACACATGCACAAGGGGAGTGGGGGTTCTAATAGATATTTATAAATTATATTTTTAGTTTCAATTCTGTTGGCATAAATGAGGGCGGAGGTCATAGATACATTTGTAGGATTAGGGTATTGACTTAAAAGAAGCTTTAAAAAGGATGAATATAAAAAAGACTTTAGGATCAGATGGTATTCCGATAGAGGTTTGAAAGTGCATGGGGGAGTTATTTACTGGCTGGCCAAACTATTAAACAAGGTGTTGGAAACGAAGAAAATGCCATACGAAGGGAGGAAAAGTGCTATAGTACCTATTTACAAGAACAAAAGAGACATGGAAAATAGTGCGAACGTTTGTGGGATCAAACTTATGAGCCACCTGTGAAGCTGTGGGATAGAGTTATTGAGCAACGACTAAAGCATGAAACGAGTGTATCAAAAAACCAATTCGGTTTTATGTTAGGGAGGTCAACAAGTGAGGCTATTTTCCTACTTAGGCAACTGATTGAGAAGTTTAGGGCAAAGGGAAAAAACCTCCACATGGTCTTTATTGATCTCGAGAAAGCTTATGATAGAGTACGTAGAGATTTTATTTGGTGGGCATTGAAAAGGAAAGGAGTGTCTAGACACTACATCAACTTGGTTAGAGATATGTATGAGGGAGCCAAACTAGTGTACAAACAACTAGTGGATAGACGAGTGACTTTTCAGTGACAATAGGTCTATATCTGGGGTCAGCATTGAGCCCATATCTCTTTGTCTTAGTCATGGACAACTTAAATAGGCACCTACAAGATGAGGTATCGTGGTGCATGTTGTTCGTGGATGACATAGTTTTGCTTGATGAGATCTGAAACGTTGTCAATACGAAGTTAGAATTGTGGATGGATGCATTAGAATCTAAAAACAAGCCGGACAAAGACACAGTATATGGAATGCAAGTTTAGTAATAATAGGAGTAGAGATGAGGAAGTAGTTAAGATTGATGACTGAGAAATGCCAAAAAGAGCGCACTTTCGATATCTTGGGTCGATAATCCAGGAAAATGGAGAGATTGAAGAAGATGTTGCACATAAAACTAGAGTTAGGTGGGCGAAGTGGAGATGTGCAATTGGAGTTTTATGTAATTGCTGCGTACTAATGAAACTGAAGGGCAACTTCTATAGAACAAATGTAAGATCGGTTTTACTTTATGGGGCGAAATGTTGGGCGGTAAAAAGACAACATACCCATAGAATGAGTGTAGCTGAGATGAGGATGTTGAGATGGACGAGTGACAAGATAAGAATGGATAAAGTTCAAAATGAATACATTTGGGAGAATTTAGGTGTGGCACCAATAGGCACTAAAATGAGAGAAAGTAGATTTAGGTGGTTGGCTATGTGTGGCGTAGGCCTAGTACAACATCTGTTAGGAGGCGCGAGTTAGTTTAAGTTGAAGGCTCAAAAAGGGCAAGGGGTAGGACCAAAAGGATATGATTGGAAGTAGTGAAAAAAAGATGCGGACTTATGGTCACTGAGGGTATGGCCCTTAATAGAGCAGAATGACGGTCTATGATTTGTGTAGCCGATCCCAATTACTTGGAAAAAGGCTTTGATGATGCTGATGATATTCTTAATTTCAATTGAAATTTGTGGAATATACCTATGGCCCCAAGTTATGTGTGGTAATCAGCTAATCGTCAAAATGGATTAATGGATGTGTCATCGATCAAAAGAAATGGGCTCGATTGATGGACGAGTCCTCTACTTGCATTGAGGTTCTATGAATGGTTGCTAGGGCCGGATCGTAGGTCAAGAATGTGAGGACACTGGTTTGGTTGGATTGGAACGTTTCATTGGTCAGACTAGTTAAAAAATGAAAAATAAAAAAAGAAAATTCGTAAAAATGAAAATGAAGAAAATATGAAAAAACACAAATCAGAAAAAGGGAAAATTTAGAAAATTATTAGGAACACATGTAATTATAAATTGCCATATTTCCATATTTTATGATTTACTCCAATGACTCATCAAGCAATAATCACGTTTGTCTTTATGAAGGAATACAAAAAAGAAAAAAGGAAAAAGAAGAAGTAAAAAGCCAGTTCACAACTCAACAAGTTCAGAACTCCACATTCTATAGGCCACACTTTGTCGTCATCATCGTCCAAGCCTAAACCCAATTATTTAGGGTTAGTTGCACTAATCCTTTTCCGCCATTCCGTTCTCTCAAGGGCCATACTCTCAGTCAAATCGTAAGTCACTATATCTCTTCTCATTTGTTCAATCCATGTAGCAAGAGGTTTCATGGTTCAAGAAGGCATTGAGGAGTTTTGCTAGGAGAAGATTGATACCTTGTGACATTCCCAAGAGGGAGGCAACCAATAGTGGATAACGATGAAGGTGCGAACACAAGGGTAAGTTCTTCTGAGCCGGTGAGAATGATGATGAGCATAGCACGTCGACTAGTTAGAATGATGTGTATGTTATTTGGAAGTAGCGGATTCCTCCTAATTCTCGCACATATTTGGAGGATGTAAACCCTAGGAGGGCTTCCAAGTTGAGATTCAACGCATAAGTCGATTGGATGTACGTAGAAAGCCAACCAGAAAGGTAGTGGACACGAAAGGTTGTGTTGTATTGACCCGACGCAGCTTCTTGTGTTACAATGACCCTAATTTTGTGGGATATCTTAGTAGAGACTTAGGCCAGAATGGGCTTTGGCAGTAGGTAGAGGTCTTGGGTGAAAGCTTGCTACTCACACCCTTTTTTCTCCATTCTCATCAATGGATCACCAAAAGGTTATTTCCCTTCTATTAGGGGACATAGACAAAGTGATCCCCTTTCCCCCTTTCTCTTCACCATCTCCGCTAAAGTTTTTAGTCAGTCTATTTCTCGGATGTTTGCTATGGGTAGGTCGAATGGTTTCTCTTGTGGTAACCACAGCCCTATTGTCACCCATCTCCAATATGTGGACGATACCCCTTGTTTTTTTCAATGCTTCTCCCGTAGAAATAAGAAACCTTTTCCTGTTCCTTAAATGCTTTGAATTTGCCACGGATTTCAAAGTCAACCTCTATAAATCTAAGATGATGGGGGTTGCGGTTGACTTTCCTACTCTCAAAGAGTATGTAGATAATTGGGGTTGTGAGGCAGAACATCTCTTATCCAATTGCCTCGGACTACCCTTTTGCAATGGTAAACCTAAGAGGAGCTCGTGGTCGAATTTTATTGACCAGGTGGATCGAAAACTCGTGGGTTGGAAGGGTCGTTTTCTTTCCCTAACTGGAAGGTTAACTCTCATTAAAGCCACTTTGGCTAACAACCCTATTTACCATATGTCTATTTTCATATGCCCATGGCGGTGAGCTCTCGACTGGAACAGTTATTTTGTAGATTCTTTTGGTCCGGAGAATTCGTGAATAACAAATTTCACCTCCTCTCTTGGGAAACTCTTTGTTGACCAAAGAGGCTTGGGGGAACTTGGAATCAAAGTATTGAGAAAACATAATGTGGCGCTTCTGGGCAAGTGGTGGCGGTGCTTGACAACCCAAAGTGATCAGTTATGGATTGATATCCTCAGGCACAAATATTGTATCCCCTCCTCCCCATGGTTACCCAACTGTAGGACTAATAATAGCTCTTCGGGGATATGGAGATCCATTTGCTCGTCCTTACAACTGTTCCAAAGGTGCATTAGGTTTCGCCCAAAAGCTGGCAAGCCGATCCTTTTTTGGAAAGACCTTTGGTTTGGTCAAACACCTCTCTGGGTGAGATACCTAGACCTCTACTCGCTTGCTCGTTCTCAAGAGGCGACGGATGAGATGATTGAGGCTGCGTCTTCATGCTCGTGGAACCTAGCTTTTAGACGAGCACTTATTGGGTCCGAAATTTCTCATTTCTCGGAACTTGCGGCTGCTCTTCAAGGTTGATTTATTGCCTCTCATGGCATGGACCGTATTGTTTGTACCCCAAGTGCATCAGGTGCTTTCACTGTTTCCTCCTTTTACCTTAAGCTTATTCAACCCACCCACTTTTCCTCACTTCCCTTGTAGCACAAGCCTGGTCCTCTTTCGCCCCTCCCAAAATTTAGGTCTTCTCGTGGTTAGCCCTCTCTCAGAGGGTCCTCACGGTCGACCAGCTACAAAGAAGAGGTATCCCCTTACTTAATCGTTGCACCCTTTGTTTGCAGATGAGGAAACTGATGCCCATCTCTTCTTACACTGCCCTTTCGCCTTTAGGATTTGGGGAGAACTCCTCAGTCTTTTTAAAGTTCAATGGGTTCTTTCTGTCATTGTACCCCTTATCTAAAATTCCATCCAATCATTCCCTTGGCCTAAAGCGGGAACTTTGTTGTGGAAATCCTCGGTGGCGGCTTCTGTTTGGGCGATTTGAATTGAGGGCAACAATAGGATCTTCCAAGGCGAGTGCTTCTCGTGGTACAAGATCTTCACCAAGCTCAAATCCTCGGTTGTGTTTTGTGCAACCAATCTAAAAGGTTCAAAGGGTTCCTCCATCTGCCTTTGATCAGGACTGAGCTGTGACCCTACTCCATATTCGAAAGCACCTACCTCGGGCGTCTAACTAGAGACCGCTTGATCCGGGGCAGTTCAAGCTTAACTTCGACGAGTGTTCATTGGGAAATCTCGGGTTTGCAGGAGTAGACACTATTCTTAGGGACCACCTGAGATTGCCTCTACCTGCAAGCACATCGGCCATACCGACTCTTCGGAAGCGGAGGCCACGACTGTCTTAGAGGGACTCAAGCTTGTCCATCCCCTCTTGTTTTGCTTATTATAGAGGGGGATTCTAAGAATGTGATTGTCTGGGCTTTAAATTCATCACCCCCAGACTTCGGTGCACATTTTTGATGAGAGTAATCACCTTTGTAGAGATATGCACGTCTTATGGAGGCATACTTAGAGGGAGTGAAACCAGCAAGCGGATGCTCTAGCTAAGGAGGCGGCTTCCCAGCACGGCTCTTAGCATCTTTCTTTTGGACGGGTGTCTTTTTGTCGGTTGCTTTGATTTTACATCTATGTAACTCTTAAAAAGATGGTTTTTTGATTCTCTTTGTTTTTTCGCCCTTTTCAAAAAGGAGTTTTCTTGTATATGGGACTTCTGCCTTGTGGATAGCCTTTATTTCTCGGATGGTTGTACTTTATTCTCCCATATATTAAAGGTTAACTTTTTCAAAAATGGCCGGTTTTGTTCACTACACACCCCAACACTATCCTCTACCCTAGTAGGCTTCCATGTTGGGATTTAGTGCATATTTCTCGTGCACATATGCTCCAAATTTTATTTTCTGAAGTTTGATTTCATTTATTTGTCTCACCCGACCACGATGGTTCTGAAAACTCTATTTTGGTCTGATCAATGGTCGTGCCCCTCAAGGGCATTTATGTTGGAAGCCTTCAGCTTGCCCCCACTGCTTACAGCGTGGGTGGACACCTAAGGTACCACATGGGTAGCCACACTAACCTCTAGGGAAGCCATGTTGTTTATAGCATGGGTTCAATGCTGAACACAATGTAGGTGACCACGCTGGTGACAGCGTGGGTAGCCACACTGAGCACAGTGTGGGTGACCATACTGGTGACAGCGTGGGTAGCCCACGTTGGTTACACCATGGGTAGCTAAGCTGTGCATCCAACCCGATCTCAGTACAATGGTGGTAGCCACGCTGTGTACAATGTGGGTAGCTATGCTGAGCCGATATTGGGCATCAAGCCCATGGCCAGCTTGCTTGTAATCTCTGGGCGCTGCCGAACAACCCCTAAATGCGCACAAATTTCCTCAAAATCCAAGCCTAATCAATCTCACAAGCTTCTTGTTATCTCCATCATTCGATCATTGCCCTATTGTTCGCATCTTAATCACTCTGTTGTTTGCATCCCTAACGCGAGCAACTTATGGTCTCCTAATATGGGAGAACAAAGCTCTTCCTTGCTTTGACACGGCATCCAACAAGTCACAGAGGGGGCGGCATGCTGCGGGATTCCCGAGTGGCAAGAGGCATGTATTGGCCTCTCTACTTTACTGACGTCTACCTAGACCAACTTCCATTATGCATAAACTGACGCCTAAGCATACACTCATGCAAGTGGGGTAGCACCCACAAATCACAACCCTACACCAAAGAACACACAAATGCAAACCCGTTGGTCATTGCAGGATTACATTATAAAAACCCTTACTTTTCTAAAATATAAAAACTCTTCAATATGTACGAATTATTGAATTAAGCAATTGAACAAGCAAATCAGTTATTTATATAATCATATCAATATCAATGTAAATAAAACTGAAAAATACAAAAACTGCACAAATTCTTCGTAATTCCATTGAAGTGTTAAAGAACCAAAAATAAAATGAAAAAGCAAATGAAAACAAAGAAAACTGGAAAAACCTAATTCTAATGCATATGAATTGCCAAATAAGCAAAAACCTACATCATCATCATCATCATCAGAGCTTTTTTCTAACAAGCAAAAACCTACATATTAAAGTAAAAACAACCATTAAATTTTCTATATGAAACAACCTAATGCGTTAATTTGAAAAAGAAGATCATTTATTGTAAACACCCTAAAAGTCTGATTTATTTTTGTTTCTATTTTTCTAAACATGAGACAAAAAATACAAAAAATAGTTTTATAAACTTACTTGGGGCTTTAAACTAGGCGGATTGATGGCCCAAATTCTCTTGAACATTGCAGCTAAATATTCCCCTTTCCCACCCCCCCGACACCAGTTTTTTTTTTTTGGGGGTGGGTCTGAGGAAGGTAGCTATCCCTCTAAAAATTCACCTCCAAACCTCCCAATTTGTAAAAAGAGCACCCCTTTTCTATTTTGAAAGTACAAAAAAACTAACAAAAAATGACCCAAAAGTTGAAAAAAGAGGTAAATTTTCGTCAAACTTGAGCTATATGGGAACCTTGAGTTTAACCTATATGTGAACTGGCCACTCCACTGGTTTTGCTCTGGTATGATGGCCATTCTGTTCTCAGGAGCTTGGACTAACCGATTGGCCCCTGGTCCGGCAGTTCCCGGTCCTGATCAGCCAGTTCGATCTAGTCTTTGCATCATTTGTCCCATGACATTGAGGTTTTCTTTATGATCTTGGTGCTCATGTAATTTCTTCCTCGATTTTCATTGTGATGACACTGTTATGGTTTAAATGCCTTCTTGCCAATCTGTTTTGCTGTGTTAGATCATGTGAAATTGCATTGGTAGAATTTGAAGTTGTGACTTAAGTGCTTCAATTAAATTTTGCATGATCCGAGAAAGCAACATTGGGATGGACTCATGTGTACTGGAGAACCTTGTCGGTGGTGTTATCTGTTCGTTATAAATATCCATTAACCAGTAGTCGATCACTTATTTGAGTACTGGGATATTATTTGAGTACTGGGATATAATTCGAGTACTGGGATATGACTCCATTATATGATTACTGGGATATGACAAAAAATGTTCATTTGCTTATTATGAAATCGCACTCATACCTCTGTGTTTTCCTTCATTATTATGGGATTCAAGTTGAGTAGCGTATGGGTCTTTGGTACAGGACATTCAGGAACATTTTTCCTTTCTTCCTTTGTATGATCTATTTGTATTTTCTCAATGATAGATGTTTAGTCATTAGATATGTCCAAATGGTATCTTCTACATGCATACAAGGGATTTGTTCCCTCTTTCGCCATATATCAAAATTGCTTGTATCACCATAGATGCAGGTCTCCTTTCCATTTCTTCAAATAATTGGCCTTTGTTATTTTTTGAGCTTTAACTGATTGGTTTATTCTTATACACTCAGGAACTGGCTTTACTATGGGAAAAGATGCGACGCCATGACATTTCCAAGGAAGAAAGATCCAAGTATGTACTCTTCTCGTATTTCTTATTTTGATTTTTGTTTAGTGGGTTTCTGTTTATAAATTGATGATTTTCTTTAGGTTGATAAGTGATGCTCTACAAAAGATGAAGGGCAAGATACCCGAAATCGCTGGCTCTCATGTTTCTTCACGTGTTCTACAGGTACCTTTATTTCACAATGACTCACTGTTTTGGGCTTGTTAATTTCCCTGACTTTTTAAGTGAAGTTGGACTGTAGACACCCATATTAAAAGTTCAAACTGCTGTTGTCACTAGAGCTTGATGTGTTTTCCAAGAGGCAAACTTTAGTGTAATCTAGTGGACAATGGAATAATAACAGTCTTATTGGCTAGGCTATAGAACAATCATAGAGCATTCAGTCATGAGAGAGTGGTAACCACCATTGGCCTCATATCTTGTTCTGGTTGTTCCTGCTCTCGCTCTCTGTCGGTATCCATTATTTTAACAGGATGGTGATTACACAAATGGATGTCATAGCCCACTATATTAAAAGTATACTTTTCCTTTTCATAAAACTGTTTGCCATTTTCCTATCTAACTTGTTCTTCTATCTTGAAACTCTATAGACATGTGTTAAATATTGCCAACCATCAGAGAGAAATAGTGTTTATGAGGAACTTCGGCCACATTTTATTGGACTTGCGCGCAACACATATGCTGTTCATCTTTTGAAGAAAATGTTAGACAATGGTATGTTCTTAGAATAGGTTCACAAGTGGCTTATATGTTACATTATTACTTTGTGTGGGGCTTCACTTCACTTGTTGTCATCAAAGAACTGTGTGGGTTTTCTTTTATCCTTCCGTAACATTTGTGCAAATTTTGCTACAGCCGACAAAAAACAGTTGCAGGCATTCATTTCTTCACTTCAGGGGCATGTAGCTCCTCTTCTCCGTCATTTGGTTGGCTCAGCTGGTATTATTCAAACACTTAGCTGTATGTTGTTGTTCTATGAGATAATACTGATTTTCTGAAAAGGATTCAAGTTCCCTAGATATGGCATATTTTATTGTTCGTTTTTTCCTCTCTTTTGGTATTTCAGTGGTAGGAATCGAATTCAATGTGTATTGTTACTTTTTTGGGTGTAGCTTTGTATCAGAGCACCTGGCAAACATTACATGGAAACCTGTTCCTGAAAACGAGCTTAAAATCTAGTGGTGGGCATCTAGACCTCATTTTACCCTAAACACCCTTGAACGGTTGAGTAGATGATGGTCCTCGTTCAAGGGAAACCTGCCAACCGCGAAAGCACATGTTTTCCACTGTAGTGAAAATTATGCAGATATATACACATATGTGCTGTCCAAATGCACATATATGCATATATGAACATTAACTTTGCAATGTTTTGCATTTATGCATATTGTAACTAAGCTTTTTTATACAATCGTATCCCATGTTAAGAATAAACATGTCAAATCATAGAAAATTTAGTGAAAAAACTTTAAAAAGTCCATAGTTTTTTTTGGGTTTAGTGAAAAAACTTAAAAAATCTCAGATTATTTTTTCGGAGATCTCAAAATCACTAGATTTGGGGCTTAGATTCCAATATATTTGAAGGTCCTTTATGAAGAGATTGTGGGTAAACAGTAACCCAAAGTGCCCCCAGGGCAGGCGCAGGCCCTGGGCGGCTCTCCCTTGGAGCCAGTACTACCTGGGCGGGCTGCCTAGGCTTGGGCGTGCGCCCGACGCCTAAGCGACGGCCAGGTATTGGTGCTCAAGGTGTCCTGGGCATCCATCTTGGGGTTTGCCTGGTGCTTGGCATATCGTTTTTGAAACAATGATGGATAGTAACCTGGGTAGCACGGAAAGTGGGTTGAATTACGATGAGACCCTGGAAATTGGTACGCGATGGAGCAGGAAATTGGAGAGATGATAGAAAAGTCCTAAAAAAGCTTAATATTAAAATTTCAATCCAAACCCAACTTCATGGTAGCATACTATTCAAATGCTACTTGAGTACCATTCACTGTGGCCCAAAATACAGCAAAAATAACTTGCAAACCCCTTTTTGTTTTGGCCATTTCTCCTATTTCCTATGGTGAAATTGGCTGAATTTTGGATATGTTGTTCCTTGTTGGGAGAGCTTTCCATATGTATACTTGGGGGTTCATGTCCCAGATCACAGGTAGTTCAAGGAGAAAAGATGAAGAGTTTAGACAAGTTCAAATGTTGCAGCCGGGGTGACCTCCGCCCACTCTACAGTGGATTTCTTCCAATCCAGGAGGAATCTTGAGATGAAATTTTGTGAGGAAGGCATTGACTCACTCCCTTTTTCATCCATAAGATTTGCCATGGTCTCTATAAAGATGCATGGTTATTTTGAAGTCCATGTGTTGCGAAAATTTTGGTGTTACTTAAATTTTGATCCACACGTGCAAAAAACACTCACAATTCCCTCAATATTTGGACTTTTTGAGTGAAATTTGATGCAAAATGCTCTCAGGTCAATCATCTATGAATCTATGGAGCCAAAATTGCCATGTAATGTTGGAAAAAAAGGCTGAATAAGTAGGGGACTGGGTAAGTCTATAGATCTCCCTAGGTTCCAAGTGTAATTCATGATATTCTCTCCATAAACACCAGAACAAAGTTGCCCTTTTTGGAAAATGATGGGACAAAAAGTATAATCCACCCATGGATTATCTAAGGCCCAAACCTTGGCAATTTCTTGGGTTAGAGGTTTCGGAAGTTTAGAGAGAAAGTGCTATGTAGGGAGAGACTTGTAGAGAGAGAAAAACCCTAACTTAGTGCTCAAGTCTTCCTAACCCCAGAGAGAGATTTTCCTCACCCATCGATCCTAAACCTAGTTTAGCAAGTTTAAACCCCAATTAATCCCAAAATACTTGTAGAGAGAGAAACCCCATTCCCAAGGCCATCGTTGGTGAAGAGGCAAGGTCACACTCCCCCCAAGATTCATATACTTTTGGATATACTGGGGAGACTTATATCCTCACCCTTAAGGCTGATATTCTGTGTCCCTTAGCCTTCTCACCCTCACCCTAATTTGCAGCCCGTAACGTGTCAGGTCTTCTAGCTAGTCAAAGGACTTGCTCAACTGAGCCTGGGAGATTTTGAACTGTCATCGTAAGTGTAGAAACACTTTTAATTGAAAATGTCTTTGCATTTTTGCTTGTGTGAATTGCCTTTATCCATTTTTTTGGCCACATGTATGCACATTGCTTTAATCAACACCTCAACCCATCTAGCTGAAGCCCCATTCTTGAAATAAGAATGACTATTGATATGAAGTTTCTTGTGGTTCCTTGAATTTCAAAGCATGAGGGTTGTTTGTATTTTTTCATAGTTGTCTTAACCAGTGTTTAAAAGACTAGCTCGGGATTGGTCATTGGCCGATCCCGATCCGGCCCAATTCCAACGGTCATGCATGCAGGAATTTTTTTTTAGTACACTAATCGGTCGACTAATTGGACTAATCGAAGGTTTGTTCTAAAAATCGGCCGATAAGTGCATTGTCATAGTGCAGGGTCTGCAAAGCTATCCTTATAACATTTTTTATATATTTCTTTTTTTTCCCCCCTATTCTTCTATGGATACGGTTTCCACGCGGCCAGCATGCATATTGTAGAAATGTGGGTTTGGCAATAAATATATTTTTTAAATATATATAATATTTTTAGAGAATATATAATATTTAACATGGAGATCATGAATATGCAAAAAAATAATAATTTGAAAGTTAGAAATAATAATTATATTAAGAAAATATTTGGACCGTTAGTTACACTTGTTTTTAGATGGACTACTTATTTGTATCCGCCTTTAAGATGGACGCTCTATACTTTGGACTGCATATTGTAGAAATGCGGTCCAGCCCATATGAAAGAATTTTCCTTCTTCTATTTCTCTACTCAAAACTTTATATATTATTACAAATTTTTTATTTGCTTAGTGCAAGGGTTGCCGCCTTGGGCTAGTAGACTTAGACGCACCAGAGTTGGTCAGGCCCGACAGGGTGCCAAGCCCATTTGTTCCTCAACTCGGCGGATATAAAATTTATTCGTTGTTCATCTGATTGGATCTTCAATATAAAACCTACATCACCAACCCCTGAGGGGCACATAAACATACACAGACGCACAAATATGAGAGAGAGAGATGAAAATTTATCAAAATAGTCAACAATTTTATATTTTACCTACATTTTTAATTGAATTCTAAAATACCCAAAAAACAAACATGGTCTTGAGTTGAAATATTATATCTTATAATATTATATCATATTATATTATATATTATATATTGATTACATATTATATATAATATATAATATTAATATCAATATATATTTATTATATATTGATCACTGAAAAAGCATTGCTTCAGATGCCTAATCATTTTCTCTGAAACCCAATTATTCTTATACTATTTATTTATTTTTCTTTTTTTATGTGACAATATAAAAAAAATACATGTAAAATTTAAACCTTTTTCTTTTACAATTTTTTGGGGATTTTTTGAGTTTTTTGGGATTTTTTACAAAAATTGCATTTTTCAAAAAAAACTTGGGCACTAATCGGCCGATCTAGTCGGAATCGGTCGGACTAATCGGATTGGGCCAGTATGGACTAGTTGGCCCAATCCTTTTTTTGGAACACTGGTCTTAACAATCAATCTCTGTGTAAGCAGATTCTGCTTTTGAATGTTGGTTAGAAGTTAAGGCAGGTTGAATGAGATATCATTTATTGAAAATGAGCAAGCTTATTACTGCTGTGCTGCTGTTGATGTCTTTGCAACTTTGGATGGTAGCTTGTGGGCATTGGTAGCATGGTTGAGAATAGGGAGTTAACTGAGACTTTATACCTAACATTGGGACTGCTTTTTCTAGAGCTGCAATACAATGGGAATGCAATTTTGGAACATAAAACTACATTGGTTCAGAAGATGCCTTGTGCTATGTCTTGTGGAATTTAGAGCACATTATATTTACAAATGTACTTAGATTTCGAGTGACATGGTAGTCAAGGATTGTGAATTTCCCATTGCCCCAGAACATCGGAAAAGATACACAGACCTTAATGAAAATGTATAAATGAAATGGTTAGCAGTAACCAAACAAAGAAATAAGAAATGTTTTATGGAAGTTATGATGAAAATTGCATATAAAGGTGAACTTCTTTTGAGGTACATCAATTTATTTTTATATGAAAAAAACATGACAATTAATGTATACAAATGAGGATCGCAAAGGTGCCTCCTTTGAGATACAAGAAGGTATTTTCATATGTAGTTTCATTGAAGAATGCATAAAATCCATGTATAGAATGGTGATTGAAATGCTACCTTAGTTTTAAGCAAGGTTTTAAAAAACGGATCGGCGACCTTTGCGATCCTTTGAGATACAAGAAGGTATTTTCATATGTAGTTTCATTGAAGAATGCATAAAATCCATGTATAGAATGGTGATTGAAATGCTACCTTAGTTTTAAGCAAGGTTTAAAAAAATGGATCGGTGACCCGGATTGTCCTCACCCATACCCTTGTTGGATCAGTGGATCGTTGTGTCAGATTGTAGAATCGGCCGAATCAGCAAGTTTTGGGCCATTGTTTTTTCAAAAAATCACTATAAATGTCTAAAATAAGTGTTCTTTTAGTTTCTAAAAGAAATTAGGAGTGATGCATTATGTACTTTCATTACTTTGTAAACATAGGTTAATATTGAGACATTATTTTCATGTCTGGACGTTGGTATAATTATTAATTTCAATATAGTATTATAATAGTGCATCAAAATAATTTAAAAATATTAGAAAACACTTTCATATTATAAGATTAAAGAAAATAATTTCCCATATGAAGTCGAATTAGTATCACATCAAAGTATCAAACATTTATTAATTCGCTTTACTCATCCAAAATAATCACAACCTAACTAACTATAATATTATATATTGATATTGGAATTGTTGGTTTATAACTTTATATTTTATAATTATTTTATTATACAAATAAGAACAAATCTAAAATGTCTTATAATATCTTTTAATTTAAAAAATCTTATTTACAACTATAAAAAAAAGTAATACATTGCATAATTTATAGTACCAATGAATTAATAAATAAAATACAAGATTTGGTTATCAATGTGTAATTATTAATTATAATATAATAATAAACATGATTAAAAAATTATTAGAAAATGCTTCCATATCATATGATTAAAAACAAAAATAAAACCCCTTATAAATTTTAATGTGACTAGATTCACATGATTTATTGACTAGTGTTTTAACAATTAGTGACCCAATTTGGGATCGGCCGATTCGGATCGGGTATCAGCGATACCGTTTTGGATTCGCTAATAAAACGGGATCCGAACAATTTGCTACGATAAATCTGATTGATGACATCAAGACCCAGCGATTCGCTGTAGTGTGATGTCATGGCCCGCGAGTCGCTGCAGAAAACAGGAGTTGAACAATTTTGTTATAAAAAATGATTGTGGCTGGGCCCCACTTACTACACTAACCACATCATGTCGACCTCATCCATCAGGAGGCTCCACCTAACGTCACCCTCACCTCAAGCATCTTTGTTTTATTAGTTCTGTTAAGGTCACCATTTTATAGTGCCATGCTCTCCCCAAATCCTTGGATGTGGGATTACTTTTAGCCTTCTGCATTTCCTTCCAAGGGCAAGTTCGTCATTGCTTCATTGGATGTCCAGCGGTGATATTGTGCTCCTTGTATTATAGGGGCCTTTAATAAGCCATTTTGAGTTTTTTTTTTTGGGGTGAATAAGTCATTTTGAGTTGGGAAAGGGTGAACGCAAAGCCCTACTTCATATTAAAACTTTCAATATATCATTTAAGGCAAATTCGCCTATGCTTTATTGCTTCAATCTCGCTCTTACTTATATTCGTCTAAATGAAATAATCTACAAGATAAATTTTTTTTAGATTACTGATATTTATTTCCCTTTTTATAATCTACAAAAAATAAAAGTACTTAATAGTTAAGTTTCAATTACATAAAAAATTCTATTTAATTAATTTAAAAAAATTAGTATAATTATATTGAAATTATTTTATAGGGGATTTTATTTTGTTTTTAATCATGATATGGAAGCATTTTCTAATAATTTTTTAATCATGTTTATTATTATATTATAATTAATAATTATACATTGATAACCAAATCTTGTATTTTATTTATTAATTTATTTATATTATAAATTATGTAATGTATTATTTTTTTTATAGTTGTAAATAAGGTTTTTTAAATTAGATGATATTATAAGACATTTTAGATTTGTTTTTATTTGTATAGTAAAATGATTATAAAATATAAAGTCATAAACAAATAATTTCAATTTCAGTATATAATATTATAGTTAGGTTGTGATAATTTTGGATGAGTAAACGAATTAATAAATGTTTGATACTTTGATGTGATACTAATTTTACTTCATATGAGAATTTTTTTTAATCTTACAATATGGAAGTGTTTTCTAATATTTTTAAATTATTTTGATGTAATATTATAATACTATAATACATTTAATTATTATAAAAACATCCAAATATGAACACGTCTCAGTATTCGCTTATTTTTACGAAGTAATGAAGTACATAATTTACTACTCCTAATTTTTTTAGAAACTAAAAGAACACTATTTTTAGAGATTTATAGTGATTTTTTGAAAAAGTTTTGGGACAAATATTGCTGATTCGGGCAATTCTTCGTTTCGATCCACCGATCTGACACGGGTATGGATGAGACCGATTCGGGTCACCGATCCATTTTTTAAACATTGATACTGACATAAGTTTAACAAGCCATTTAGATAAATAAACAATAATAATCTCAACATAATTATACTAATTTTTGTAATTTAATTAAATAGATTTTCTTTATGTGATTATATGTAATTAAAACTTAACTATATGTACTTTTATTTTTTGTATATTATAAAAAAGAAAATAAATATTATTAATCTATAAAATAAAAATAAATTTTATTTTGTAGATTATTTCATGTAGACAAATATCAGAAAGAGAGAGATAGAAGTAATCAAGCATAGAGAAACTTGCCCCTTTTTTTAAATACTTGGCACAACCTTAAATGATGTATTGAAATGTTATCAATAACGAACTTGCCCTTGGAAATGTAGAAGGCTAAAAGTAATCCCACATCCAAGGATTTGGGGAGAGCATGCCACCCTAAAAAGGTGACCTCAACATCATGAATAAAGCGATGATGCTTATGAGGTGAGCATGATGTTAGGGTACAACTTATTGATGGACGAGGTAAGCGTGATGTAAGTGCAGTTGGTGGGGCCCAATGCAGCAGTTTTTATAAGAAACATGTTTAAAAATCTCCTGTTCACTGTAGCAACTTGTAGGCTATTCCGGTTCACTGTAGCAACTCGCCATCCTTTAATGTTATATTATGCAGAATCGCTGTTTCATGATGTCATCACACCGATTCTACTGTGTATAATCGCCGAATCCCCTTTTTTCACAAGACCTGAACGGTTCCACCAATATCTGATCCGGATTGGGCGAATCTGGATCGGATCGGAGTTTTTTTGAAACCTTGGTTTTAAGAACAACATTTATTTCTTCTCTTGAAGACTGGACCTAGGGGCCTTTGATTGTAGAATTTGATAATTCCTACTCAAGTTGAGGTCGCAAAAGGTGAACCATTGCTCTCAAATTTCAGGCCAATGCAGAGGATTTTTGTGAATTCTATGTCAAGAAGTCCATTTCATATTGTAAGAAGAGCTTTATTTTTGTTTCTAGCCACTGTGCCTTAAATTCCTATAATAGCGAGTTGTATTCATTCTGTTTTGCTGTGTGCTTTCCTAGTAATGACTTCTTTATTGTCAAATTGAGTGCGTTGATTGCTTGCATATAGGATATAGGGGAAAATAAATGTCAAGTCATTCTATTTCCTATTGACAATTTAGTGCTCAATGCAGGCATAGTTGGGACAATGTGGATCAATCTGGAATTTGGGTTGAACACTTCTAACCTTTCTTACAATCCATGCAGTTGTTGAACATGCATTCAATTTGGCAAATGGGGCTCAGAAGCAAAGTCTCTTGTTAGAAATATATTCTTCAGAGTTCCAGTTATTCAAGAGCATGATATCAACAAAAGAGGGGAGGTGTGTATGTTGATTTAAGTAAAATTTCCAACACTCAATACTTCCTCTTCCTTTAAATAAAAATACGGAATAATATTCCATTTAAAAACTTTGAAAAATAAAACAGGAGAACCATGAAATGCAAATCCCTAGAAACCGAGGAAAACCACTGACTTCCTTTAATTAACAACCAAATAGATGGACTGATAGGTCCAGTGTCTTTGCGTGGCTTGAACCAAACATCTCATGTTAGAAGCCCATGGAGCTCAGCTCGAACCAAACATCTCATGTTAGATAAGATCTTGCATTTGCAATTTGCACCCTAGTGGTTTTCTTTGCTTCCTGAATACCATTGATAAATCATGGAGCTCAGCTCCTTTTGATTTCCTAGACTTTCTTCCTTGAGCTTCTTTCTCGCCACCCTTTGCTTATTGTTTTTCTACGGCAGTTCTTTCTTGTGGTGCAGGTATGGTCTATATCACCAATAAACATTTGCAGCTCAATTCTCTGTATTCCTAGTTTTCTTGTATGATATTTTCTATATTTCCTCTGTTTGTTCAATTTTTCGAACGCCAGATCCTTCATATGATTCAGGTAGGGAGGTGGGGGATGGTGCCCTCTTTTTTTTAGGAATTTAGCTGTACTGCATACATGATTACTAGATACCTTTGATTGTACGTACTTTTATTTGACAACTGGAAAAAAGGTTCTACATCTATTTTGTCAGTTCCTTTGTAACTGTATTTTAGTCGAAACTTTTGTTTTCATCTGTTTCTGTCTTCATCAGGTTACAAGATTTAATATCTAAGCTTTCTCTCAAAAAGTCTTCAGTACTAGAGCGTATGTCTTCTGTTCTTCAACCGGTTTTAAAGAAAGGTCTGGTGGACCACTCTATCCTTCACAAAGTGCTACTGGAGTACCTCAGCATTGCTAACAAGGTGGTGGTTTAGATCCTCTGATATTCTTGTTTTGTTTTGTTTTCTGTATGTGTCTCTGTGTGCGTGTGAGGTTGTGATATTATACACCACGATATTCTACTTTTACTTGGATTGTGTGTGTGTGTGTGCGTGTGCGCGCTATGGTAATGAGGTTGCGATATTCTACACCATCCATTTTACGTGTGCGTGCGTTTGTGAGGTTGCAATATTCTACACCATCCATTTTACTTGGACTGTATGTATGTGTGTGCGTACGCGCTATGGAAATGAGGTTGCGATATTCTTCACCATCCATTTTACTTGGACTGTGTAGGTTTGAATCGTTTTTTAAGACCGTTTCAATGGATGTCACGTCTTTTAAGATAGTGTTCAATCTACACTGTCTAAATAGAATGGATGGTGTAGGTGACTGCAACCTTATTTCTACAAATAAGGTTGTAACCTTATATAAATTTTTCCATATATATATATATATAAAATAGAGGTAAGTGATTTTATGCACATATAATATAGATAAGTGATTTCATGCAACGGTTGTATAGTAATATAATGAAACAATCTTCAAAAACCGTGGCTATTGTTTGACCCCAATTTTTAAATATACACTCTTATGAACAACTAAAAAAAGAGTAAAATTTGAAAACTCAACCCAAAAAGTGTTTTTTTAGCCCAATTAACATTGGCTGTCTATTTTGGGAAGATGCTTAGATCTAGGCCTTAGAACGATTTATTCCCTTTCCAAATTTTTTAGATGGGTTTACTATCATTACATGAACAATGTTAAAAAAGAAAAAAGATGATTTTGAGTTTGTAAAGGCCTAGATCTTGAAGTTCACCAAATGAATGGTTTAGATTCATTATTGGATGGGACTCATTTTGACCATTTCTAGGTTGCAAATTGAATTTTATTTTTTTTGGGGTTGATTATTGGGATAAAGAGAGGGTGTATGCAAGTTTTGGGGTCATACAAATGCCACAAACTTGGTTTTCTAGAAATGTGGTTTCATCATATTATAATGACATGGTGACATTGAATCACTCCCCATATATATATATATATATATATATATATATATATATATGTGTGTGTGTGTGTGTGTGT